CTATTACAATGCTGATGTTATAACAGGATAGGATATGCTGGGACTTCACAACTCCCTTAGATAAGCCATATATCTACAGGATGATAGGGATGTAATATTACTCATGTTACAGTACTGGGTCTGATAAAAAGTAGACCCTCTCATTATTGTTGTTTATTTTCTTAACCAAAATGAACTGACTTTAAACAGAAGTATGTTTTTAAACCTCACAAAAAATATGAAATGATCAAAACCTTTGTTATCTGTTACCTGAAAAAAAGTAAATATTCACCTTTCCTCCTGCCTGCGCTACTAAACACTGCCCTGCTGACAAGTTCTCATCCTCCCATCCTTCGAAATAAAAACTAGGACACAGTTCCACCTTTCCTATAAGCATAAGATCTATCCCTATATGTATAGTTCTGGTTTCACATTAGGCTTTCATATATGACACAATACAATCAGTGCAGTAAACAAAGCGCCATTACAGGGGATGCCATAGTCTATGCAACAGATAAATATTTAGCAAAGGTAGTTAAAGAGTATTTTTCCTTTTTATCTCACTGAACCTCCAACCTTTTTTTACTAAAATCAGAACTACAGATCTCAAATGCAGACATGGAGTATACTTACTCTGCAGTCTGCTCAAGCCTGAGCAGTGTTTATTTCTTACTGCAATATAATGGTGCCGTGATATGGTATGTATGTGGTGCTTATCCTTCAATGCTTCAATTATGCCTTTATTCCACAATTTGATATAAGTCTGATTAAAAAATAATTTTTAACAATCTTTTAACCTGTTATGAGAAAAATGTGGAGGCTGCTATTGCCAACTGTTCCTCCTGCATGGCTGTCTTGCTGATCCAGTTTCTTAATGCTGTGAGCCATTAGACCCTAATGCAGATAAGGACGTTTCAATTTTCTAGGACTAATCTGCATACTTGCTCCAGGCAAGTGACCCAAAAAAACATTGAAGCCAATGGGTTCATATCACAGCCAGTCAACCAGAGTTTTCAGAAGAAGGTCACCAGTGGCAGTATCTGTATATTTTGTATTTCTTATAACGGGTATACAGTAAAATTAGGCTTGCAAATGTGCTTTAGTTTGCAAGTTAATCACTAGAGGGAGATAGAGTACCATGAGAAGTTCCTATTACAATGAACTAGGCATGTCAAATGTTATCTAAGAACTCCGCTCCTTCTACTAAAATGATCTGCACTTGTGAGTACCATCCAACACGTTATATGTCAATGAAGAATGAAGTGATGTCACTAAGAGTACCTGTCTAATATCAGTCACAGAAAAAAAAGTCACTACAGTATATGTTCTTTTTGTTAAGGGAAACATGTCATGACATATGTATGGATGAGCCCATTGCTGTCCACCTTTGGAAAATGCTAGTTGCCAGGCTATTATGCTGTCCCACTGACTTCAGTACCCTAAGTAACTGACCTGGAACAAGTATGCAAATCAGTAAAGTCAGGGCAAAGTCTGTATCTGCAATCTTGTTTTAGGTAAATCATAAAATCTACAGCTTAGAAAAACAACTAGCATTTTCAAGAGAGGTCAGCAATGGCAGACTACATGTTTGGCTAGTAACAGGTTTCCTTTAAGAGTTGTGCATGCAGCTTCTCTGACATATTGACCTGAGAGTGTAATAAAAGATGAGGCTGGCCTGAGATGTACAAAACAATTGCATTAGCGAACCCTCAAAAAGGCTCTGTTGCTTTGTCCATTCAGGCCAAAGTGACAGGTTTACTTTAAATAGTCACCAAAGGTCCATGTACATGAGCGTCAACCCTAACACAGTCTTGCTTTGACAGCCATTTTGTGGTGCAGTAAAAAACTCTACAATACATGTAAATGTAATGAAAGCCATCATGCAAACTATAATCTTGGGATGCTCAGCTGAAGAAATGAGAGCAATAATGTTTTAGCAACGTTACTGTCTGCGGGTTTATGGGAAATCCATTGCAATTTACATTAGTAATTAAAAGAAACATCCACTTTTGCACAACCGCCGCTCTTCTCCCTGCTTTTAAAGGTACCCTGTCAGGTCATAAAAGTGCTCAGGCTAACAATATAACGAAAGTGTAGGCACCCTGGAGTGCCTCTAAGCATCTTTGGTAAACCATTCATCCTTTTATCCCAGTGTGATCTGGCACATGGATAAGCATTAAATGTTCACTTTTATCTTTTAGTAAGATTTTAAGTGCAATTTATCTATGCACCAAATCGCGTTGGGGAAAAAAGAATGAGCGGTATCAATATTTAACAGATAGGCCCAAAGTTTACCAAAGTATCTTGCACATAGACAGTTTTATTTATGCAAGGCACCTTTGTTAACTATTTCTCCATGTCTGTGCTACGCAGAGGCCCAAATCAGCAAGCAAGAAGAATCTTTCTATTTATTTTGATAAACTATACAGCCAAACCACCTATATGAGCTTGTTGGGCATTTCCCTTTCTGAAACCACATGCTTAAAATCAAGCACACAGTTATTCAATCTTCATTGACAATCATTAACATACTAAGACGTTTTAGACAATTAGGACTTCCACCCTTGTGGTAACAATTTGGGGAAGATTATTTTCTGTTGCAGCATGATTGTGAATGTGCACAGAGCAAGGTCATTAAAGACATGTGCACAGAGCAAGGTCATTAAAGACCTGACATGATGTGAATAGTATGGTGTAAGCAGGGGTGCCCATTAGGTAGATCGTGATCTACCAGTAGCTCTCAAAGCTGATGCTGGTAGATCAGGAAGGGTGTGAATGGCGGCCCCTTTATTCCATTTTGGTGTATTTATTTAGCTGTGCACACATGATTACCTATTAGCCTGAGTCTGCTGAGCCAAGCTCCCTGACACCTTTCTGGTGGTTGAAGTGCTATGTATTACATCAAAGAATATTAGTTTACACAGCCTGTTGCACTACACTGTTTGCAAAATACAGCAAGGTGAGCCAGGAGAGAGAGCGGGGAGAGACAGCCAGGGGAGAGAGCGAGGAGAGACAGCCAGGAGAGAGAGCGAGGAGAGACAGCCAGGGGAGAGAGTGAGGAGAGACAGGAGAGAGAGCAAGGAGATACAGCCAGGAAAGAGAGAGAGGAGAGACAGCCAGGGGAGAGAGCAAGGAGAGACAGCCAAGAGAACGAAGAGAGACAGCCAGGAGAGAAAACTAGGAATGACAGCCAGGAGAGAGGAAAGACAGGCATGAGAGAGAGCAAGGAGAGACAGCCAGGATCTCATGTAGCTCGTTATTTAAAAAATAGATCTTAACATATAAATTGTGGGCACCCCTGGTGTAGAGCAACTTGAGTGGCCTGCATATAGCCCTGGCCTCAACCTTGCAGAGCAGCTTTGGGTTAAATTCTCAGCACCTGACCTCAATTATCTTTTGGTTGAATAAACAAAAATCACCATAGACACACTCCAAAATCTTAAGGAAGCCTTACCAGAATAGTGAAGGCTGTGGTATCCACAAAGGTAGGGAGGAGGTGGTAACTGCTTTTTAGATACCTAAGATATTGTAATGGTATGTGCAAAAAGCTCATATAGGTATGATGGTCAGAGCTCAAGTTCAGCCCTTACTGAAATACACTACAATTTCTTTTTAAAACTGAACTTGAACTCCAGGCAGATATAAAAGTCTGAAATGAATGCAGCTAATATTTATGAATAAATCATTAAATGTATTTCACTTAAAGTGATATTAAAGGCAATTTTTTTTCCCTCCCCCCAATGTAAATGTTAGCACTTACCTTAAATGATGTCTCAATGATGTTAGCACTTACCTTAAATGATGTCTCTTATTCTGATCTTCCTCTTCTTTCCCCATGTTTTCATGTGTCCCTCCAGCGGTGCGACGTCACTCCGATCCAGCGCTGACTGCTCTGTCCCTCCGATCCAGCGGTGTCTGCAGGCGGGTGCACGCGTCCATAGACTTACCTTGCGTCTCTGCTCGTCTCCCGGGTGAGAATTGGAACTGCGCATGCGCCCGCCCCAAGATCCTTTGCGGCCGTACGAGCAGTTCCTGATTCTCGGCGCGGGAGCGAGCAGTGATAACGAGGTAAGTTTAAAATGATTTCAAGCGTTTTTTTTTTTTTTACACTTCTTGCCTATATCTACTGCTTGATAGCAGTAGGTATAAGCAAAAAAAAAACGGAGGGTTTAGAACACCTTTAAGTGTAGGTAGTAAAAGGAAAAGAATTTGACTTTAAAAAAAAAAAGCCTTTTGTAGAAAGTTGTACAGCAGAATTGAGATTGGGAGAGGGAGGGGAGTAGTACTGGGAGCCAGTCAGGCGTGCTGCATGCAAATGTTTTGACAAGGGACATGTTGATAGGAGGAGAGAGTAGAGTGTGTAAAGAGGTGACTTTACCAGCCTTAGGCTGCTCTTTCACTGTCCAGACAGGAGGCTGGGTGATGCCATTACTGTATTCCTTGGCCGTGCTGTGTGATGGGCTGACAGGCATACAAATCCTTTAGCAAGTATAACATCTTCATTATATGTGTGTCATCTGTGTAATTAGAGGTTTTCCTGGAGTTCAACTATAGATTAACCTTTTTCTAAGCGAAATGTGGAGCTGGCATTGCTGACCTTCTTCAGTAAAATGCTAGTTGCCTAACTGTGGTGGTAACTGAATGGACCTGGAACAAATATGCAGATCAGTAAAATCAGAGTAAAATAGGAAATCCTTTTCTGCATGACTATTCTGAGTTAGTGATTTGAAGCAAGAGGGTTACTATGAAAAAAGCCAGGCGATTAGCATTTACAGAAGCAGAAGGAAGGCATTGCAGCTTTCATATTTCTCTGGAAAAGGTTTCCTTTATTCAGGAGGATCTGAGATATCCATTTGCTTTGCAGCAGCCAGCGCTGTCCATGGTACTGAACTATGTGTTATAGGTGGCAACACCTGTGGCTGGATGAGCCCAGCTGCACAATGAATGAGATAAAGAATATTTCGTTTATTGAGCCATTAACATCTGACTTATATACTTCCTGTCCTAAGCGTTTTACTCACCGTAGATGATGGAATGGCTCGGCTTTAACATAGGGCGTTTCCAGAGAGCCTGGGAAAACTGCTCCTTCTGCTCCTAAAAGACAGAAGATAAATTATATTAATATACAACTGCTTGTACTACCGGTCAGTATGGTGATAGCAACAAACTGGATAGTTACATTTTTTTTCTGACAGAATCCTTAAAGAAAACCAGTCACTTATGCAAGAATCTGAATTCATATTCATATTAGTATTTTATTTCACTTTTACTACAGCTAGAGCCAGTCAGAGGTCCCTTGATGTTTTAATGCTGGCCATAAAAATGGACCTTTCCAGGCAAAGCTGTGTTGACAGTCTTCCTGGGATGATAAACAATGGCCAACAAAAGTCCTGAACTAGACTCCCCATAGTGTGGGTCGCCTGACCAAAAGCCTAGGCATTTATTCACATGAATGGAAGGGTTAGAGAAACTGATGATCTCTACTCATCTGCTTCAGCAAAGATCACAAAGCCTAGGCGTACACTGTTATTTATGTCATGAGCATCAGAGGAAACCTAAATTTGCATTTCCTTTTGGAAAACTATTTTAGTCCTTTCCTACTCATTATTTATGTATCGACCCCAGGTCTGTTAACTAGGTTTACTTGAGTAAACATACTGTGTGTATGTGTATATATATATATATATATTAGGGATGCACAGATACTTTTCGAGTACCAGTGCAGATACTTGGCATTTTCATGAGAACTACCAGGGTTGCAACGGTTGCAGCTGGGACCTAGCTCTGGCACTCCACCACTGTCCTGAAATTATTAGTCTGTATTGTTTTAGAAAAACTGTCACATGTCAATAAACAAAAATGTATCAGTACTCGTACTTGTAAGTACTCGGCAAGTACCAGTACTTGTACTCACAAAACTGGTATCTGTGCATCCCTTTATTTATATTTATAAAAACAAAATCGTACATTAAAACAGAGATGTACGAATCCCAGGAGCTCCGTGTGCTCCTTACAAATGACAGATGCCTCCTAATTTTTGAATTTTTCTCTAGTGTAGTCTTGGAGCTCAAAGGTATCGGTACATGTACTCGTACTTGTACCGAGTACTGTACTTGGTATCTGTGCAACCCTAATATATATATATAGATCTATATATATATATATAGATCGATATATATATATCGATCTATATATATATATATATATCCATCAAATGCTGAAAACCACTGTCTAGATGTGACCCCTTTTACTGTTGACAGATATTCAGTTCCAGACTGTATTACCTTTACCACCTGCTGGTGAAACCTAGTATTGCAATGTGATGTGAAAATTCAAACATCGTATAATGGAAACCACAGGATGTTGATCCTTGATTTCTCAGTAGGTGTAAAGGGTGCTTAGGCTGTGTGAAGTTGAGACCTTCAGTGTAACTATCCCAAGCCTAGAATGGCAGTTGTTTTGGTTGACGAAAGGGACACACTTGTATAATCACCTGTTGGACAGCCACATAAAACCTTAATTTCCATAACCATAGTACTATTTTTTGGCTGCAGATACACTTTGAAGACCAAAATGACAAACACTGTACAAGTTCTAAAAGTGTTCAGACATGGATAGGGCTACATAAAAATACATTATATCCATTGAGATATTTAAATTGAACCAGTGTTCTGCCTTCCTTTCCACTGCCTACGACTTCCCTATCTCTTATTACACTGTCCATGTCTGCTCTCCTAACTCGTGTCTCACTTATCCGCTTTTCTCATTGACTTAATAAAGGGAATTTATTATCCCGATATTGTGATGAAATTGGAAATTTCTACACACAGGCGATAAGAATCATACAAAGTGCTGCCTCGCTTCTACAGGATAGACTTGTGCTTTTCTTAACCTCATTGACTTTGAGATAACAGTAATTGTATGGGAGATAGATTGTCATTGCCTGCTATTGGATTGTTTTCACTATACAAGCATGTAGTGTCTCCATTCTTTCTGTCAGATTGGAAAGCCATTGGGGCATGGCACCCCCAATATGCTGGATGTACAGTGTAACCCTTTCCATACCACAGAGGTCAAACTAACATCAAGGAGAACTCCATGGGCTCAGTGCATCAAGTTCTGTTCTCCTGTTTCTTCCTTTTATTTTTAAATCTGTAGGGTAAGGAAGAAGCTGTAATTCTAGGCATTCATTGTCAGTGATAGGCAGCAAGGATAAAAGAAGTAGTGATTGCTAACAGACATTTGTCCAAATGGCTGGATTTCTGCATAGCCATCATAGGCCATGGCCTAGGGTAGCAAAACAGTCAGGGAGTTCTTGTATATAATAAAAGATTTCATGTTATAGAAAATACAACAGGAGGAGCTGGAACACAAAAAGGATGGCAGGACACCAAAAACTCCCAGGTGGACAAGAACACAGGCATAAAATTAGGGCAGGGAGATCTCAATTTTGAGAGTATCTAAAGCTGACCATACACTTATAGATTTTCTATGGTCAGATGAAAAAAGTGCAACAGATTCCTCCATCTACGCTAAACTGTGTGGCTGGAGGAATCTCCCACTGGGCCAAGCTTTATTATCTTGCTAGTCAGCCCCGCTGGCTGTCAAAATACCTGAGCAATCTGATTGGATGCAGGCATTGTTCAGGTGTTTTGAGAGCCAGCGGGGCCGACTAGCAAGATACTGAAGCTTGGCCCAGTGGGAGGTTCCTCCATACACACAGTTTATCGTAGATGGAGGAATCTATTGCACTTTTTCCATCTGACCATAGAAAATCTGCAGATAATCTATAGGTGTATGGCTGGCTTTAGGCTTTGTGACTCAGCTAACCAGACTGACATTAACATTTTTGACAGAAATATTCAAAACTACATAAATGCAGATGACAATTGACTGAAAAAGATGGGGGGGTCTAAAGAACTTGTCATTTAAGGTAAACGGAGTAAAAGCTACCTTCTTAACATTAAAACTGTAAGGGCCCCATCAACCCTAGATAAATAATAAGAATAAGAGGAGGCAGTGAGGTTCCAAGATCTCTGATGGTGGCTGCAAACATGCAGATATCCAGAAATATATAAAACACATAATTTAATCCACTTATGTGTTCAGTAAATATAGGTACACTTATTTTTGAATATAACAAGCATAAACGCCTGCATCTGTCCTGATATCACCCCCTTTTTATTCCCCTGCACAGATTGGGGGGAAGGTTGGCGACCAAGCTGTATTGCTCCATCACAGTAGGTCACCAACCTGCCTAAGGTGCCTGGTTCACAAAACTACCAATTACAAATCATTAGGCAGGCAACACATTTCATGTACATGGATTTCAACTGTGTATTTAGCTGTTTGAAGAAAACTATTGCAAGTCTGGATAAACTAGGGAAGATAAAAGATTCCACATTGTTCAGCAATCTTCATCTTGCCAAAGCCATGGCCTTTCCAGCTGCAACATATGGCAGCAAAATGAGGACTATTAGGCTGGTTCCCATAAAATCAACACTATTGCTTTGGAGAAAGGTGCTGAGAGATTTGCTAACTAAGAGCGAAAACCTGACAATACTTCAGGCAATAAACCTAAGTTGTTGAGTGATAATAAAATAAAAGCTTAAAGTGACACTAAACTCAGGAGTTAAATCTCAAAAATGCCTTCAAGTACCTTAACCACTGGCGGAACTACCAGGGTCGCAGCGGTTGCAATTGCGACCTGTGCCCTGGCGTTCCGCCACTTAGGGGGAGCCCAGCGAGGAAGAAGAGGGCCCCCCGAGATCGTGCCGCTCCTTCCTTGCCGCACAGCCACCCGCAGCATGTACGGGCGGCTGTGCAGCGGGGATGGAGAGGCTGTCACTGGTCCTACAGAATGTGCTGCAGGCACCACCGGGCAGCACATTCTGCTTTGTGAGGACCCTCTCCTCTTAGCTCCCCCACCTGGCCACTGAGATGAGGAAGAGGGCCCTGCAGGAGAGGAAAGGTACGTCTGGAGTAGGAAGGGGGAGGGGGGCGCGGGGAAGTGTGAGTTTGTTGCTGGGACTTGTAGTCCCGCATAGCTGGTGGTATTTTGCATACCTGTGTGATGATTATACAGCAATGCAGAATAGCTACAACTATGTAGGACTACAAGTCCCAGCAATGCATTATAGTGTGTGTGTGTGTGTGTGTGGAGGGGGGGCTAGTGGTATTCTGCATAGCTGACTTTTATTATAATGTATTGCTGGGACTTGTAGTCCCGCATAGCTGGTGGTATTCCGCATTGCTGTATGATGATTATACAGCAATGCAGAAAAGCTCCAACTATGTAGGACTACAAGTCCCAGCAATGTATTATATTTTTAAGTATTGATACAACAGTGCCAATACTGGGCATTTTCACGAATACTCATGAGAATACCCCGATACTAAACCCAGATACCGGTGTTCTGTCAAGAACGCCAACGTAGTCGAATATGCCGACCTCAGCATCTGCGCTTGCGCACAGGCCGGTATTATCGAGGAACCCAGGATTTATTGAGAAAGTATTTAGTTTAAATCGTTAATTGTGACTTTTAATAATATTCCAGCCATCATTTACTGGCATGGATTTGTTCCTTCTGGAGGGGGGCTACTTTTGTTCCCCATGGGCCCTGTGTGTGTGTATTATAAAGTAGCCACTGCTACAATCTCATGTTAAGTTTACTACTTGTATGGAGGTTTTAGTCCATCATGAGAGCGAGCTTGGAGTGATGGATAGTTTACAACACACACAGGGACCATGAAGAACAAAAGTAACAACCCTCCAGAAGGAATGACAGTGTCAGCACCAATTCAGAGATGATTTGAGGATCTACAGCTGAGTGATATACACATAAGATACATTTATGTTAACAGTAAATGTGCTTGAATGCATTTTTAAATTTTATCTTCTGAGTTTAGTGTCACTTTAAATAATCTGGCTGCATAGGGCCTTATATAATATATGTGTTCTTTCCCAGAACTGGAGATACTTTACAGCTACCAATCAGCATTAGACCTGTCCTTAAAGTTTGGGTCTAATTGGTGGCTGTGGTAAAATAACTTCTGTAACTGTTAAGCTGAACTCCAAGCAGCTATAAAAGACC